TGAATTTTAAATAGGGATGGGAAAGAGACAAGGTGGGGATGGGAAAAATATTTTTGCTCCAAATGAAGGATGGGGAAGGGACGAGGTTTGCATATAATTTCCCAAACCCAATGGTAACTTAGTAAAATATTAGTAGATTTAATATTGATTTTTAAAATATCTCTAAGTTTTCTTCATATTTTTATAATACTAGGATTCCACAATTCCATTTATAAAATACCCCCAAATTGTCATTATCCAATTCCTAAAATACCCCCAAATTCTCATTGTCCTATTTGTAAATTATCCACAAATTAGATTATTTTTAGGTAATTACCTCAAGGTGGAGAAAATTTGGGGATTCCCCATCCCTAACCAATAATGGATGCTTCGCCTCGAACCTGCCCCACCACTAGGATGGGACGGGGATGGGTAGGGGTGATCATTTTAGCCCGGCCCGGAAATTCTGGACTTGGACTTGGGTTTTTTGTTCAGGCCCGACCCGGGTCTGGGCCCACGTTAGGCCCGCAAATTTTAGGGCCGGGCTTGGGCTTAATACTTCAAGCCCGGCCCCGACCCACATATATTTAAACTTACACCTTTTGTGTATAATGTATACATGTTATTTTACATTATATTATATATTATATATATAAATATTATAATATCACATATATAATTTATATTATATGTAATATTTTATATTATATAATGTATAAAATAAGTTTATATGCATGTTATGTCATTTAATATATAGATATATAATATTTTATATTATATAATGTATAAAATAAGTTTATATGCATGTTATGTCATTTAATATATAGATATGTAATGTTTTATATGTGAGTGACATTGGCCCGGAATTAGGCCTGGCCTGGCCCGGGCTCGTATAGAATTGGGCTAGGGCTTATGTTTCAGGCTCGGAACCCCGAACTGGGTCAGGCCTAGGCCTAAGCTATAGCCCTTATCATAAGTGCAAAGCCCAGTCCGGGCCTGGCCAGGCCCATGGTCACCCCCAGGGATGGGGTGGAGTGTCTTGACTACGGGGGCAAGGGACAGGGAGGAGTGCCCCATCCCGTGTATCATACAGGGCCCCACTAGTATTATTTAAATATTTCAATAGCTAAATATCTTAAATAACAAATATTAAAAATAGCTAAATAATTATATAACAAAAATATTTAATATTATGTAACGACTTTAAAACAAATAAAATTCAAATAACAAAAAAAATTAAATATTTTACATATTATTTAAATATTTAAATAACTACATTTTTTTTATAAATGTTAAATAACTACATATTTTAAATATCAAAATATTTAACATAGCTAGATTTTAAATAGTTTAAATAACAAAATTATTAATAAATTTAAAAAATTTCTTAAAAGTAGAAAATTAATTATAACATAATATTAAAATTAATAATAAATTAATATTTACAAAATTAACAATGAAATTATGTATTAATAGCATAAATTATAATAGTATAAATTATGTAATAATGAAATTACGTAATAAAATAATGGATTGGTTGGTTTCATCAGTTTGATGAACAACACTAGCTGAAATTAATTAGTGTTATTTTTGAATTGTAATAATTTATTAAAAACCATATACAAAATATAAATAATTATTAATTATTTAAAAACTAAAAAATATAAAACAATTGTATACTCTTATATGTTTCCATTGTTTAGCTTTCACTTAACAAATCTCATACATCGCATGGGTCCCTGCTAATTGTTTTATAAAAATTGCCTTTTAATCTAAAGACTCGGGATGCACCCTCCATTTTGTCTATCCTAAAAATGAAATTAATATTTTCAAATTTTAAGTTATCATTAAACTATTTAGATCAATCCTAACCATTCAATTTTGCAACCTAAGCAACTAAAGAGATAAGAAAAGAAAGAAATCTCGACCAAAACCCAGAGAGATAAACAGGAATTCTATCTAGTCTTTCCAACTAAAGGCTTTGGTATGAAATTCAAACTCATCGTCCATGGATAGAGGTGAGTGATACTGAGGCGACGCATGATGAGGAAGCTTCCATATTATTCACTATGAACAATTAGATAGAGCTTTGTCACACACCATCTTGTTGTCCGACTACTGATTGAGAACAAAAATTTGTTTTGACAAGGACCCATGGTTGGACTGCTAATTCAGGACCCTGTTCCCTTTACAGGTCAAGGAACAAGCTGAGTGACCTGAGATTAGCTATAGCATCTATGACCCATACTTGTTCATTCATATCATCGCTCCTTAGATTAGCTATAGCATCTATGATTTACCAAGATTTCACCTACAGGAATGGTAACAAACATTCTTTAAACAAGTAAAAAAGAAAGATGGAATGAGTCAAAAATTCCGATAGATTGTTACAAATCCTGTTTCATAATTTTTTGCGACAAAGTATAATAAACCATTTCCACAGTCTGCTTATAAGATAACAGAGGGTAAGAGAACATGATGAAACAAGTAAAATGAGGTTTCTTAATAGCACAAAAGCTGAAATTCAGAATTTAGTTATTCGACCCAAGGTTCCTTGCCCCAAATTTCTGTATGGCAAAATTGGGGATTAATTAGGCATGCCGTGAGATAAATAGATATTATACCAGTAAAACACTATAACCTTCCTCAACTACGCCGGGCTGCGGTTCAGAAGAAACAAAAACGCAGAGTCCATGGCTTGCTTACAATGACAAAACAAAAGAACTGTTTTGTAATGCGAGAACACCACTACGAGAAAGATTGACAAGGAAATATTAATTAATCTGACAGCGTTTCAAAATTGTAAAAGGAAAGCTTTAGTATTAGAGATTTGACGGGGGTTTGGGCTTGGGAGGCCCACTCGAGCGAGTTCTGCAAAGTAAGCAGCGTCAGCGCCCGGCCAGCCTATAACCCCTCCATAAATTCTTGCGCACAAAAAATTAGCGCGGCGACCGGCTCCCACCGCTCGCTTTGTTTTCCTTACTCATTAGTTTAAGGCGAGTTTTACAGTTAGGTCATCGAGGATATATATAGTACGCTGACAGGCGCTACGCTTTCACATCCTTTCGATGTGGGACTCGGAGCACGTTCAAAAGCACACTCGAGGTAATATCATGTCTCACACTCACTAGTCACTGGCTTTTCCTTTTTTACAGTTGTTTGAGTTGGGCCCTTTCACTAGATGACGTGTCAAGCTTTTATTTTTTGGTAACAGTGTCAGGTTTCTAATGGGCAGTAAAATAAAAATAGGATAGCGAGTTTTTCGTTATAACTGGATCTAGAGCGAGCCCTGTACCTGTAGTGATGTAGCCCATCTTTTCTCACAGCATGGATGTTCACAGAGATGGCCTAAATCCTTATGATTGTCCACGTGCTTAATAATGCCTACAGATCTAATGTTGAGTCTCTCCAACTCAGCTTCAGAGGATTAAATTACTGTTTCAAAAACAAAAAACAAAAATCAGCTTGAGACTTATTAAGCAGATTCCTGCACAACCACAAGTGCACAACCATTTCGTTGTTATTCATTTGGACTTGATAAATGACGCTCCAAGTCCAATCAGAACCACATCTAACCTTTTTAAGGGCCCGTTTGGGACGAGCCCAGATCTCCTGTAAGCAAAAGTTTTGCTCACATTGAGAATAGGTGAAATTTCTGAATTCTGGTTGCAGTTTTGTGCACATGTCTCTGTTTTATACCTTTTCCTTGTTTCATTTTTCATTTTATTTATATATCTTTGGAAAATTGTTTAAAACTCACCATGAGTTTTCAGCATCTCTCTTAAATTCACCACAACTTTTCAAAATGTCTAAAACTCAACACGAGTTTTCAGCATTTCTCTAAAACTCACCACAACTTTTCACCATGTCAGTAAGCTTTTATTTTCTAAAACTTACCGTTCGTTAGTGCATCGTTAATACTTCTTAACAGAGGTGTCCATGTCAGCATAAATAATTTTTATGACCAAATTACCCTTGAATGGTGAGTTAGTGGGAAAATGGTTTTTTCAATTTTCAATTTTCTTGTTTTTTTTGCATTTTTTTTGTTTTGTTATAATTTCCAATGTTTTTTATAATTTCTGTTTTTTTTACATTTTTCTATTTTCTACAATCTATAAATTATCCTGTATTTTTTTGTTATTTGTTTTCAATTTCTGTGTTTTTCTATAATTTTTGATGTTTTTCTACAATTTTTATTTTCTGATTTTGTCTTTCAATTTCTATAGTTTCTATAATTTGAAAATAATTTTTTATTTTGCTTGCAATTTCTATAATTTTTTTTTTTATAATTTCTATGTTTTTATGTATTTTATATTAGAAAATACTTTTTGAACTTTTTCCTTTTTTTCATGTCTAAATATTAAAATGGTAATATAATAACACCCGTTAATTTATTTTGTATATATTTTTATATTTTTCTATGAAGGCTAAAATGATAATATATTAACACCCGTTAGTCTGTTTAACGTCTAATTAGTGACATGGTGAGTTTTAGACATTTTGAAAAGTTGTGGTGAATTTAAGAGAAATGCTGAAAACTCATGATGAATTTTTGACAATTACCCTTTATCTTTTAACAACAAAGTGGCGAGTTTTTCTTTTTTTTTTTTCTCTCTTTTTGGATGTGTTGGTAGTTTTCTCATGAATTTGTTATTAACCCAAATATTCCGAACAAGGAGTGGCATGTGCAAGATAGACGACAAAAGAAATAAATGGACCAAAATTTTGGGATGAACATAGCCTTTTGAACGTGAGGCCAAAAACAAAAATAATGAAAGACAAATTTAAATAGCCGACCCCGTATAATTGTTGGGATAAGGATTGGATGATGATGTTGACGATACAGATAATGACGACCAAACCAATATCAGAAATATCCAAATGCACTCCTAAATCCTAAATCCTTCTCGACTCTGAGAAAATGTAATTTAACTAGTGAACACGTTCACCATACAGTAGAAATGTCTTGCTTTCAGGTATATCTGCACTGCACAGCCGTGTATTTGAGATGCAAATGGTAGTAAGTGAATACCCATTTCAATTCCAAGTGTTTCACTAAAAATTAGAGCTCCCGAATGCTTATAAATAATAAAGGAAGAGGGAAATCAGGACACACAACTCTGTTGATCTTGCAATTGCGCCATAGTGAGAATGGCCTTCTGCGGCCATGAGCATAAGCCCAGGCCAATCTTGAAGCTAATGCTAATTCCCTTGCTATATACAGCTATATAGTGTTTAGACAGAATCATGGTTCAGAAACAATTCGTGCAAAGCAAAACACAAAACGAGGGCTTGATCATACAAGAACACAGAGACAGAATCATTTAAGAGTTAAGAGTGTGTCTGCGCATGTTCAGGCTTGTGGGTGAACTCATAGTCAAGATGAACAAAGGCACGTTCAATCTCGGGCAGGAGCTCCAGCTTTTCCTGCAACGACTCCCCAATGTCATGTGCCTCCTGCAATGGCATTTCTGATGGCAATACAATGTCAACCTCAACAAAGTAATGTGAGCCAAAGGTGTAGGCTCGCACTGTGTCGATGTGTCTTATGGCCTTGTGGTGGTTCCAGCAAAGATATGTCAATTTCTGTAGATATTCTGGTGTTGCTGACCTGCCTACTAGGGAGTTCACGTTTTCCAGCACTGTCATGGACCATGTGCGAATGGTGTACAGGGCTAACTGCAATCATACATAGAACCCCAAACATTATAATACAAAAAAAGATGGTAGATGGGCAAGTAACAGACCCTGTCTATATGTTGCAAATTGCAATACATGGCAAATATGTATACATCTACTGTCTAGACCAAACGCTGATGCCTGATGGGCTCCACATAGAAAATCTTTATAGGACTGACTCATCTAGGAAAAGCCGAGTCAATCCCTATGTGTTAATCACTCATTTTCTGGAGAACTAAAAACTTCAAAATTTTTGCAGCCTAAACTCTCTCTTGAGACATATTTCATCATGTCTCGTTAGAAAGAAGGCATATTTGCTTGGGTGGTTGCCATTTTTTGGACAAAGGTGTCAGTAAAAGTCCCATTTAATAGGTCATCCACTGGCTGCCTCCTGTAAGTATAGTAGGGGCAGGGATATACAGTCATCCCATCATAAGGCAATTATAATTCTTCAATCACAACTAAAAAAAAGTAATTTTACTTACAATGATAGCTCCAACAGGATCCAACCAGTCATTAATGTAATTTGCAAGAAGCGCAGCAACCAGCCCAATGACATTTGTGATGACATCAAAAAAGTGATCCTGAGCGTAAGCTTTGACGATCTCGTTGGTAAAAGAGCGGCAATAGAAAACCAGAAAGAGCTTTACAAATGTTACTGAAAGCATAATGACAATCACCCATCGTTCTTGCTCCTTGGTCAAGTAGAATTCATCCTCCTGAAGTCGGGTTGAGAAAGAAAGATAAGAATCTACTTTTTGAGCACTATCTATACAAAATGTAGCAATCAAAAAGAAATCCTCAATTGTTGTGCATGAAGCTGAGAAAGTATACAAAACTTACATCAGAGACTAGTGTGCGCAATGACTCCAAGATTATCTGCAGACCTAGTGTAGCCATGACAGAAGCAAAAACAAGGATTCCCTGCATTATTTTGTCGAGCAAGAATTAAGCATACAATTCAAGCATATTGCTTGGTACCCTTGCCATCAAAATTCAGATAAGGCATGAAACATCAGGTATAGAAAATACTCCATCTTCACATCAGAATTGGCTAATCTAAGCATCTATACATCACAAATGTAAGATGCAACAATTTGTTTGGAAGAGGTTATACCAAATAAGACTCGGGATCCCCTTTGCCCGTGCTGTGTCACATTCATTTTTTTTCCACTAGGATCAAAGAAATGTATCATTTTTCTCAGTAGAATTGTATCCAATATTCTTTAAAATTATATATGATTTTCAAGAGACAAATAGTCATAAAGGGATACCCAATGGTCCAATTAGAAGGAAAAGGCTGTCTTACAAGGAAATGGAGTTAATGCCAACTCATAATTTTTGTTATCTTCACCCTAGACAAGCCTATAAAGGAAGAAGTACTTGTCATGATCAGAAGCAAGTAGTAATCTTTAAGATCCTTCACTAAAATCAACTAACCCTATTTATGAAGAATGTTCCTCATCAAAAAGTAATGTTAATTAAGTGGTACAGAAGCATGAATTTCATTGATTTTTATCGGTAAAATTTTATTGAACGTAACCAGTGCTTTTCATCCAGCCATTAGAAAGGTTTACAAGGATAATTGTCTAAAAGAAAGGACCAATTTGTAAGCAACCAATTCCTATTTTCTCAGAAAGAGAGATCCCCAACAATCCCAGACATAATGCCTAACACCCAGAAGAATATAAAGCTGAATGAGCTCCTACTTATCAAATCAAGGATTCCAGATGTCACAAACTCAACAAAGGGCAGCCCAGTGCACATGGCTCTCGCCAACGTGGGGTCTGGGAGGGACAGATGTAATGCAGCCTTACCCCTGCACATACAGAGGTTGTTTCCAAGATTTGAACCCTGGTCACCAAGGTCGTAATGGAGCAACCCAGCCATTACCAAGGCCCACCCCCATGTCACAAACACAACATATTTGGGAAAAAAACATCCTTTCAGTCAATTCATATGTACCCATTTCTTTATCAAAACCTCAACTCCACCCTGGAAAATCCACACAAGCTAAAAATAATTCAACTTCTATGAGCATGGAAGTGGTAATTAGCCATTTTATGTGGGTTGGTTGACTTTGAAGTCGAGTGTCAAACTTGATCACATCACCATGCACTTGTAGCATAGAGGTGGTAAAACTTTGTTGTAATTTTTAAATAATAGTATGATTTGCAATACATTCATGATTTCATTTGATTCAACTTTATTTCCAGTAATCTTATCATAATCTTATGACATATTTCCTTTGTTTTTTTTTTAATCTTGAGCAGCAAAACTGCTGTTCCGTCCTTCACTCCCTCTAGGTTTCTTTGCTGCTATCTCTCTCCCCCCAAATTGCCTTATTTAGTTAACTCTTTTTCAGTTCCTATTTAATTACTTTTTTTCAATCCATCCCCTTCCCTAGCCTCTATATCACCCTTTAAACCCACCTTAGAGTGGATTTTACTTTATGCATCAATCCAAAACCTATTTAACATATTTCCCCTAGCCATCCTCCATCACCTCCCTAAAGAAAAAGATAATAGTCACATTTACAGGATAAATGCATGTGATTGCTCTTGACATTTTATCAGACCAAGTATCACATAGATAAGTAAATATTCATAGTAAATGCACATGGTAATTTGTTCACTCATTGAGATTCAAAGGGAAAATAAATCAGATTTGTTGACTATGAGTGAAAATATGGAACAGATCTGCGAACCCAACCCATGTAGTTGTAATAATTCCCTAACTCAATTTTCTGATTCAAACAGCAAAACAGGGAAAGCAGTGGATTTCAGAATCCTTTTCCATCCTGCTTGGCCAATCCAGATACAGCCTGAATTGAACCCATAAACGGGAAATTCTGTAATAGTAGTAAATGGTAATGTTGAGGTCAAACCCCATAATTTAGACAGTGTCTAATAATGCAAGAATAGTGTATTCCAGGTGGGAACAGGAACTGGTGTAGGAACTGGTTATCATTACATGGAAGAAGCCAAGAGAGGAGAAAGTCAGAAGACAAACAAAGCAACTCAGCAAAAACCAAACATCTTGAAATGTTAAAAATAGCATACAAGCTGAAAAAGGATAAACAATAAATTCATTGGGGAAAAGTTCATGTAAAAAAAAATGCAGTATTTCAAAGCAAATAACTGCAGGAGAAACTGACCAATGGCTGCATCCGCTTCTTTCCAATTGGGTACCGGTATGGGTTTGGTGTCTGCATAGAGAATGCCGTAAACCACAGAATGAAACCTGACAAAAGATCAAGAAGCGAGTCTAACGTGGATGCTATGATCGCCAATGAACCACTCCTAATGGATGCATAAACTTTAGCAGCAAAAAGAGCCATATTTGCAATATTCGATATTCTGATGGCAAGTGTTTCACTTCTAGCCATCCTGTCCCGCTCTTCCTGAAAATCAACACAAGCAAATATTTCAGTCCTAGACATTTTCATCTGGATGATGTTCAGAAATGCTCCAAATCTAATTCTGAGATGACCAGGTAAACAAATGAATGGAGAAACCTTTGACATTCCAGGAAGAAAACCACGCTCTGCTATGGCATCCATTTCATTGAACCCCTCTAGCATCTCTACCTGTTGTTGGTAATATTCAGCCACAACATCTTCTGGGCCTGGACCCACCAAGTAAATCAATCAAATTTGTATTTATGCAGTACAAATATAGTTAGTTCACGTATTATTAGGACAGTAGTTTTATAGCTTGGATGTATTTCTTTTCAGCCTGTTTTTTAACTGTCAAAAGCACAAAGTAAATTCTTGCAGTAATATACAAGGTTCAAAATGTTGCAATGTGTCAGTGTATATTGATCGATACATATCGATTTTTGAACCCATCAATATGCTTTTTCTTGATAGTTGGACCTTTTAACATGTTGAAAACATGAAATATTAATATTCAGTTTAATATTTTTCTGTAAATGAATCAAACCAGAAAAAAAAAAAAGAGTATCGTACAATAGAAACTTTGGATAAGCAATTTTGTGTATCCAGCAACCGCATATCAATACTTTGAACCTTTGTAGCATGTGTTAGAATTTTCCCAAATAAATACAGGAGCATGCCAATTTTGTGGAGCTCAGTCTCTAAATAGTCATTCCAATGTTTGATACTGGCATTTGTCATGAATGAGTTACAAGTTACAACAACTCATATTAGATAATAAATTGGATGACTTAAACTATTAAAGAGGATGTGATTCCGTTGACAAATCTGCAACCATAAACTATTCAATATAATCAACATCTAAAAAATTACTAAAATACATATCTCAAAGTGGTTAATCAATCTAGGAAGTACTATGAGCATTTTGGTGCAGGCATGAAAAGCAACAACTAACAACCGGAATTAGAAGTTTTTCCTTACACAATTGAAATAACAAATTCAACCTTTCGATTGGATAACAAATTAGTATAACGTTGTTTATAGACTCCAAAATGGTTTTCCTGAATCAGATTATCAACTGCCTAATTTTCTGAAGTAAAAAATTGGATATTTTGCAAAGAAAATAAGTGATCACGATGACCAAACTGATTGAAAAGTCCAAGACAAAGATTATAGTTGGAAGCCACTGATAACAGAGTAGACAGATTCTACATACAACCCAGACGTTGCTATATGTCTAATAGCTAAGACAACAATCTGCATTTATACAGATCTTCCTCTCTTTTCTCTGAGAGAAAAGTATCTCAAGCCGGAAGCCTCTTTTTCAGTTAGGAAAAAAAATAATTAAACGAAAAGAACAGAACAATTTTTTGGCTGAAAAATCCAGAAATACTACATATCTATAGTCACAGGCGTCAGAATCATTAAAAGAATAACGAATTAGATTAAACCCACAACTAAAATAGTATCACTAATCACTACGAGCTAGTTAAGGAAAACAAAGAGCAGAGTCATATATCAAATGAAGGAAAAGATCATCTACCGAATAAAGCAAAATTGCTGACAAAGCAAGAGCCAACTGAAGACATTTCCATTTAAAAATCAGAGAAGGAAATCGAGAATACTAAATATGGATTGACTTAAAAAGGACTATCTCTTTTATAGATATATAAAATAATTAGATTAGACTTTATAAAAAAATAAGAAGTGAAAGAAAATTATCACCTCGAACGCCAAGGCAGTCTTGAAGGCCACGAGACGGCTTTTCTTTGTTCTCAGGGGACAGCTGATAGCCATCGAAGTTTAAGCGCCAGGACCCCTCTTTGTTTCCAGATTCCGGCAAGAGCCGCTCGTCTGACCCGTCGGGATTACAAGTGGGAATCGCTGGATTCGTCATTTTCCAGTGACAGGAACTGATAAAACCCTAAAAACTTGGAAGGGGCACCAGATGGATCTTCTTCGTACGAGGAAACCAACGAGAGAATATGGGATTAAAAAGGAAATGAATATTTTATTTATTCGGGGAAACGTTTTGGGATCTTGCTTTTGTATCTATGACTATGATTCAAAAAGCAGATTTTTTTTGAAGCAGAGAGAGAGAGGGTTAGGTGAAATGACGAGAGTGGACAATATATGTAACAGTCCCTCCTATACAGCTTTTGGTTGTATGAGAACGTGAAAAAGTAAGTGAACACTGTTGATTTCCGTCTTTCTCAAGTTTATCTTCGCTCATTCCATGCTTGAGATGGAACCTCCCGAAAGCAAAAATCATGAACAGGGTTTAAAAAAAAAAAAAAGAAGCTTTTTGCAGAGTCAAGTTTGGTTAGGTTGTTTGGAAAAAAAAAAAAAAAAACTCTTTAAAATCGATTACGTTTTCAAAAGATTATCAAAAAGAGTAAATGGAAGAAATTTGTTTCACTGCATCAAATCATCGATGAGTAGTACATGTAACAGAATCCCGCCCCTAAAGATCATTGTATTCTTCTCCTTCTCGTTGTGTTACGCTCTGTTTCTCCTAAATACGATACGTTGCCAAAATTAATCAGGCAAGGAACTGGATCTATACATAACGACGTACTTTTCTCTCCACAATTTTCATCGTTAATTTTCCTGCTTGATATACGTTCATTGTGACAACTGAGGAAATGAAATTTGAAATGATAAAAATATTCTATTCTTTTTTCTTCCACACACTCTTTCTGAAGGAGCGATTTGTGGTGTCGCACTGTGAACGAACGGAGAGAAATGAATGGCGTTTATGGCATATCAACAACAGTGAAACATTCAGCTTCTTCTGCGATTCTATCAGAAGAAAACAAAAACATACATAGAGAGAGAAAGCTGAAAGAAAGATAATCAAATAATAACAGAAAATGAAAAAACAACACGGCTGGAACATCCAAATAGACGGCAACACGTGGCAGGAACTAGTGATATGGTGACCAATTTTAGAACTGCATTTAATCCTTACCATGTATGTGGAGACTCTGGATCTCCCTTCCCCAAAATCCCAAATACACCGGTCGGGCTACCAGTCACTCATCTTCAGGAAAATAAATAAATAAAATTTTGGTTATTTGTAAAAAACAGCTTAGGCAGTTTTTCGGCTTACTGCACGTGACTTTACCTAATTCGGGTCCTTGTTTGGCTACCAAAGTTTTTTTCTTTGTTTTCACTGTGCAGCCGTGGAAATTGTGAGACTGTTTTTGAGGAGTTTATATGGATTAACGGAGTTCACACCTGCGCCCCACAATGTCTTCGATCACATTTCTGCCGTGTATTGAGAACATTTTTCGATGATGTGTCAAAAATGATATTATCATCATTGGGAGATGTTCCCAATACATGGCGGAGATGTATTATGAGAATTGTGAGGCGCTCCCTCTTAAGGCACGTATCTGAACTTGAATTAACGTGGGCTCGCATCATTTACAGTGGGGTCATTAATTTATACTGACGCAAAACCTTATTATTGGTTTGGTTTACCGTTTGTGTCGAACAGTTAAAGCCTTCGGCTAATCTGAATTAGTCATAGAATAAGAGCTCTGTAAACATAGTCCGGATATTTTGTCTACGTCTATCAATATAACATTGCAGCCACAATAACATCTCATCCTCCTACATAATATTATGCAGGGGGAGATATTAGGAGTCCTGTAAACAGTGCAGCTAACGTAGACAGCAAAATTGTTTACTGATACGGAGAATATGCAGTTAGGGGCAAGAAAAAAATTATAATCATTCCAACTCTACTTCAGTGGATATATAGCTAAGAAAAAGCCTTTTTCAGTGGGAAAAAATAAGGAAAGTTTTCCGTGTAAATTGCTTCCGTATGCAGATTTGTAGAAATGATAAATCAGGGTTTTTTTTTTTTCTTCTTTTTGCAGACGACAAGGTACTGAATCCGTGGCCCATGGAAGTCCCAAGTTCAAATGTCCATTTTTGCTTCACAGAATATCAAAAATGCTTTTGTAGAATCACATAATGTCTTCCATGGTATTCACAAGTAACTAGTATTAAATTGTTCAATTTGCTCAAAAAAATAAAAAACAGTGTTTATTTGAAAAAGAAGGAGAAGACAAATAATGCATATATGTATATGGACATCTCAACCAACTAGTTTTTATTTGAAGAATAAAAAGAAAAAAAAAAGGAAAAGAGATGAATATTGTGAGCTAGATTCTGCCCAGATGCAGACCACATAACCCAACCCCATTCAGCTCAGAAACTTCCAAGCGCAAATATAGTGTCGTCCTTTTCATGGACCTACATCAAGCCCACATGACACGGGGAACACAAAACACCTCTAATATTTAACAGGAATATCTTTTTACAATTTTCTACACAACACTGGATGGTACCCTTAAAAAATTGATATGCTTTTATTATTGCAAAGGAAAATAACAAGAAGAAGAAGAATGATGCAATATCTAAACCTGAAAAATCAAAACTGCCTTAAAATAATGACAGATATAAGTGATACCATCTCGCATATAACAAACGTTTCTTCCATTCAATCCCATTACCTGAAAAAAAAAATCTTTCGTGTACGTTTAAAAAAATAATAAAATAGTTAGAACTTCAATTATCGATTTTACAATAACAAAAGTTAGTTTTATTTTTTACAATAACAAAAAAGACCATATAATTAAACACCCTTGGCACTAGTTATCTCATTTCTAAGTTTTTCTTTTTTATATTTAAAAATGAATAAAAATATGATTTAAAGCCAAGCCTCCTTCACCTTGGAGTAGAAATCATTAACAACAATGTTATCTTGGGATCCATTGATGAGGTCCATATGATTTGAAGCCAATGACTCAAATGCCCCAACATGCTTAGATTCTGATAAGGACAACTATCAAAAAGCTTGTGGCAATTGTCTCTTAATATGATTAAAACTTTTTCTATTAGCACACAACACCTCCTCTATAAATAGGTGAGACACCCCTCGGAAAATTTATGCATGCTATAGCACTCTTCCAACTTTTGCTCTCTTCGCCCATTAGTCTTCTTGGCTTAGTCTAACGTGATGAAGGGTAATTCGGCCCGACCTAGTAATAAGGGGATACATGGACACGACTTGACTAATAGATAACAGCTCAGTCTGACATGACAAGTCCATAACAGATTGAACTCGGATAATCAAACCACCTTGGCACGGGTCACCTCGGTACAAGGCCGCAACAGGATCACTTCGGTCCCAAGGTACTTCTGCATATACTCCAGTTCGGAACTAAAGAACATCAGCTCGGGGATACTGGCTCGAACCACTACGTGATGATCCCGGAAGTCCCTCCAATGGATTCTGAACCTCATGGGATCACGCCTCGTAACGGTTAGCCTTATCTTCTCCCCACCCGGTTCGGGTGGAATTGAAAAGCCTTATCAGTCAACGACGTTATCCTCCAATTAAAGCGGAAACGGATCCCATTATAACGGAGATCCCGAAACCGATCCACAAATCCCATGAGGACTCGACTATATAAAGGCTCCAACCCCGAGGGCACAAGGTACACGTGATTTCTCTACTCTCTAGCTCTCAATATTCTCAGCAACTTTCAGCTCGCAACAAGTTATCTAACTTAAGCATCAGAGCGACCTCGCCGGGCTAGCCACCCGGGGTTCTCTAATCCTATTTTGCAGATCTACCCATCTCATCGTCCAACTGGAAACCAGATCATCCTCCACCAGGGAGTAGTCAGATCACGCTACATCATAACGCTTCTTCATTTGTTTACTAACTTATTATGTATCAAAGAGTTCTCCCCAGGGCGCACATCATGGTTCTTTGTCTTTCTTGCATGTGCCTTTGGAGTAGCTCAGGTCATTCACTCTCTCGTAAGGTCATCCCGTTTCCAACTTCCTCTCCTCTCATTTATTGCCCATTTTTTGTAACACCCATGCTACCTTCCATGAAAACTAGTAGAATAACAACACCTATCTACCTACCTTTCTATCCTCTCTCATTTATTTTCATTCATTTTCCCTCTTTCATCTTTGAAAAGAATAGTCAAATCAAACCATATTTTCTTACATTTTTATTTTTGAATTTGAAAAATTAAGAAGTGAGGTAATGGGGGCCAAGTATGCCATATAGCAAGCTCGCACAAGTAAGCTCGGATTACTATGTGTGAATGACGTGCAACAATCTATATCTATATATTATAATGGAATGTGCCAAGCTATCACTTTCCTAGTTTGTGGTTTATTCTCAAACTCACGTATCTTTTTTCTAGTTTATTCTAAAGGCGATTCCATATCTTCTACCCACGAGAACTCTGTTCATGTCTATCCACAACACAATTCATCTCCCCCTGTATAATACTATGTAGGAGAATGAGATATTCTCAATGTGTGGCTGCAGTATTATGTGGGTAGACGTGGGTAGGAGATCCAAACTCCTCAAAGGCACTTATCTTTTTTTATTTTTTTATTTTTTTTAATTTTAAAATTGGACAAAATAACTCAAGTGACCAATAACCTTTAAGACTTTTAACATTCCCCATTAATATACCATTCTCTCTCTCTCATTAACTATTTTAATAATATCTCCTCATTAATTATATTGAAATTGAGTTATTCAATGATATATTATTTTGCTAAATATGCTACTTCCATTTAAAATTATAATCCATTTATATTCCATTTGAAAATAATAAAATTTAATTAGCCATAATAAAAATAATTTAGTAAATTACTTAAACAAAATAGAAAATAATAATTCTTGTTAGTGATAAAATTATTTTTATTAATATAAGAAAGCGATTTAATTAACAAAACAATAAGATAAATTAAAAACTAATATTAATTTAAAATTAATATAAAACTATTCTAGATTATCAAACCATCATTAATTTTATAATTAAATTTTATTAATTTAAAACCAACTTAATTTCTATTGAAAATTAAAGGTTTATATAGTTAATTAAATTTCATAAGGAATTTTAATTTAATAAAACTTAATATAATTAAATAAATTCAATTTTTAATAATTTAAAAAATAACAAATAAATATTAATTTTAAATATAGTTTCATTATTTTAAAATCAATCTAAATTCTATTTAAAAATAAGGAAAATTATAAAAACCTCCTTGGGTTTTCTAACAAACATATGAAACTCCCCAATGTTTTGGCCTCAACATAAACCTACCCCCACCGTTTTGGAAAAAGGTGCAAATACCTTCATTTTGTCAACATTCCAAATAAAAAATGTTGATGTAATGCATTAATTTTACTTCACTTTAGCCTTTTTATCTTAATTTTTCCCAATAAGAATAAGGAGAATTATTCTTTGAAATCATGTATGATAATGCATTAACAATGATGAAGGTATTTTGGAAAGGAAGTATTTGCATTTTTTTTTTCTCAAAACTATAAGAAAGGCCTTTGTTAGGGTCAAAACACAAAGATGGTTTATATAATTGTTATAATTAAGAGATTTTTTTTATAATTTTACCTAAAAATAATAAAAAGTTCCTTTTTAAACAAATTAACAAAATTAGCATTAAAATATAAAAAATAACACAAATTTATCTAAAGAATAGGAAATTAGCCACTCTCACTAAAGCACAACTTAGACTGTGATTGGATAAACTAAACATAATCCCAAAAAATGATATTAATTGAACTTAGATGAACACCATTTAATTGGAAATGTCATATAACTCCTTCAATTTTACTTGTAAATAAAACCCATGCAATCACGGTCCCGACTAGTATGAATAGAAACTAAAAAGAACACACACATGT